CTTTTTTTCTGAGGCACCTCTGGGCAGGACATAAACTGGTTCCAAATGAGCCTGTTACAGCCAACAGAAACAAGGGCCACATACACATTGCCCATTCATCCAATCACTTTTACATTGGATTTTGCTAGTAGGAAGAAAAGCACTAATGGCCTACTCAAAGATGATGACCAACCAATACACAGAGTGGTATAGTCAGCCTACACAGAACTAGTCTTCTGCTAGGAAAATAAAACTCGGAGCATTTAATTTTTTAAAGTGCTCTAGAATAGGGGTCAGTAAACTTTTCAGTGACTGGCCAGATAGTATTTTAAGCCTTACAGATCAAGAGCCACAATTGCAAGTGTTTATAGATGAGAGAAAAGTTTAAAGTTTCACAATTTTTAGTAATGGATGCCTAGTCGTGGAATATACACATGGGCACTGGGAAATGAATTCCAGATCATTTTCTTGTGTCATAACATATTACTTTCCTTTTAAATTTTGCCACCATTTAAACTATAGATAGAAACCATACTTTTAGGCAGCTAGCTGAGTTTGTCCCAGGCAGTTTTCTGGCCCTAGCTCCGGAACATAACTGCTTCACCATAAGAAGAAAAAAAAAAAGCCCACTGCTACTGCATCCATTCTGACTTCTCGCGACCCTGCAGCACTGAGAGAACCACCCCATAGGGAGTCGGAGGCTGTCAGTCTCTACAGAGGCAACTTTACAGAGTGCCTGTGGGGTCAAACCAACCTTTCGGTTAGCAGCCCCGTGCTTAGCTCCCTACACCTTCCAAGAGAGAACAACTTGCCAAACTCATAGCCATTAAGCCCATTCTGACTCATGGCCATTTGACAGGACAAAGTCAAACTGCCCCGGTGGGTTTCTGAGACCATAGCTTGTTCACGGCAGTTGAATGCCTCCCATTTCTCTCTTGGAGCAACTGGTGGTTCACACAGGGCTGTTTATACCCACACCAGATACGAGTTCTGGGGCACCTTCAAACTGAATGAAATCACAGGCAAGTTTTGGGACTACGTACATGGTTTTTTCCTATGGACAAAGTCTGCCCAGGTCAGGTTAACTCTCAAAAAAAAAAAGTCCAAGACTCAATTAAGAAGAAGAACCACCATTGTTCTAAAGACAGGTTGCTGCTTGTTTGGAGAGACATTTCTTGAGTGTCCCTAGTGCTCACTCACTGTGCAAGTCACCAGGAACTCCTGCACATACTGACCCTTTCAGCTAAGAGTGCTTCAGAGACTGAGGCAGAAATACTTGTCAGTTGCCTCAGCCATTCTCAATGGCTTAACAAGACACAAAGTAAAACGAAAAGCCAGGTCTTTGGTGTAAGAAGGACAGGGCTTACTCAGAGTTTCAAGTATTTAGTACATAAATTAAGTTCAAATGAATATCTGGATTGCATTTAAGTGTCCAGGCAATAAATAGAAATTGGATTCTGCTTATTATGGGCATTTTTCATTAAAAAGTAAAATAAACTCAGTGTTAGGATGGTGTTGCTCAATGCCAGGGAGTCTGTTTTGCCTCCTGTGTGCACCAGAAGAAACTCCGCTGTCTTCACAATTGTTGCTATATTCCAGCCCATTGATCATGCCAATTAGGTTCCTGTTAACGCAACTGAAAATGAGGGTTGCAGAATAGGTTCAGGCAGGATTAAAGTTGTTTATTACCATTAAATGTCTAAGTGTGCAGGCTGCTTGACTTAACTAGCAGCTGTTAGCCAAAGCTAAGCCCTCAAATGTTCAACCTCATACAATGGAGAAGTCGCCAATGAAAAAACAGAAATGCCCATTGGAAAACAAATAGGCAGCTCAGGAGATCCTGCCCATGCTCAGGGCTGGGAAGGGATGAACTTACTTTTGCTCAATAAACAGTAGTAGAGAATGAAGTTTGTACTAAAAAAGAAAATGCTTATCAAAGCTATGGTACTAAGCTTAAGACCTGTAAGATAGTATGGTATAGTTTGTAGTGAAATCTTTAAAAGTTGAAACATGATTAGTATCAGCAACCCTAGCCTTTTTTATGGTGTTAGTTGCCTTCGAGTGGCTCCCTGTTAGAGACCATGTAGGACGGTGGCTGTGTCCATGGAATCACACATAACAATTGTGAGGAGGCCCAGGCCCGGGCAGTGTTTCATTCTGTGGTAAGATAAGGTTGCTACGAATCAAAACCGCTCAACAGCACCTATCAACAACATGTAGGACCAAGTAAAGCTACATCGTAGGTTTCCAAGGCTGGACTCTACTAGAGGAGACGTCCACATCTGTTTATCAGAGATGTTGGTGGGTGAGCAGTGTGTTAACCACCGTACCATCAGAGTTCACAATTGTAGAGACTGTTAATGCATGTGCAGTTTTCCCCGTCTACTTGGAGCATCTACCAAACCTTAGCGGATTAAAACGTCTTCCACAGAAACAGAAGTTCTCCATAAAAATGTCCCTGGTGAGTCACCCTCAAAAAAGGAAGGGCAAAATTTACAGAAGGTTTGGACTCCTGTGGAGTCTCTTGGTGACACAATTAAGTGCTCAGCAACTTCCTCAATGGTTGGCAGTTTGGATTCACCCAGAGACCCCACAGAAGAAAGACCTGGAAATCTACTTCAGCTTTTAAAACCCACTAGAGCACAGTTCTCTGAAACACAAGTTCCCCGTGAGTCAGGGTACACTGGGCAGTAGCAGAAGGCATTGCTCATATATACATTGTGGTTAAGTGCCATTGAGTTGATTCCCACCCATGGTGACCCTATGCACAACAGAGTGAAATACCGCCTATGCTTGAGTCTATTATCGCAGCTACTATGTCAATCCATCTCATCAAGGGCCTTCCTCTTTTTTGCTGCCCCTGACTTTACCAAGCATGCTGTCCTTCTCCAGGGACTGCTCTCTTGTGACCACACGTGCCATCCTTGCCTCTAAGGAGCACTCTGGCTGAACTTCTTCCAAGACAGATTGGTTTGTCCTTTTAGCAGTCCATGCTACTTTCAGTATTCTTCTCCAGCACCACAGTTTGAATGCATCGATTCATCTTTGGTCTTCCTTATTCAGTGTCCAACTGTCACATGCACATGAGGCCACTGAAAATACCATGGCTTGGGTCAGGGGCACCTTAGACCTCAAAGTGACACATCCTTCATTTGCAATACTCGAAAGAGGTCTTGCGCAGCAGATTTTACCCACTGTAAAATGTTGTTTGATCTCTCCGTGAGCACTGTTCCATGTAGACCTAAGCAACATGAAATCTTGACAACTTCAACCTTTTCTCCATTTATCATAATGTTACCAATTGGATAAGTTGTGAGGACCTTGGTCTTTTCTTTCCTTCGGGTCATATTCCACACTGAAGACAGCAATCCTGGATCTTCATCAGCAAGTGCTTCAAGTCCTCCTCACTTTCAGCAAGCAAGGTTGTGTCATCTGCATATCACAGATTGCTAATAAGCCTTCCTTCAATCCTGATGCCACATTGTTCTTCATTTAATCCAAGCTCTTTGATTATTTGCTCAGCATAGTGATAAACTCGTCTAAACTAATTAGTTAGGTGAGCACTAGAAGGTTTTTTCTTTCCTACTGGAATTTAATTTGTAACGGGCTTCTTGAAAGCCTACTCTGTTCATGCTCAGGAGAATTTCAAGTCAGACCGGTGAGAATACATTGCCCCTCACTTCATACCCTCCATCTCCTAGTTTACCTGAGTCATTTAATGTGATTAAGCAGAAAGTATGAGCACAACCCGTCAGTAAAACTGATTCATTATATTTTTGGTGGAAAAAATTAAATCAAGAAAAAACACATGCAAGTTAGTACTACAGGGTGGATCACCACTAGTTACACAGCAATATTCCTTGGGATCACAATTAGGAATATTCTACATTTGATCAGGATTTGCATGATTGAATTTTAAATTAAACCTGTGTAAATGCATGTTGAAACTTAGTAGTGATGGTATCAGTCATTCAATAACACTGGGTACTATAGCAGTGACAACCAAAAGAACCAGCTTCAGAGAAAAGGTACCCACACAGGGAGCAAACTGGAAAACAGCACAGGAAAGTGATAAATTATACAGTTACAGATAATAAATTCAGTACATCTATCAACTCTTGGAAACTGGGACCTTGAAAAATAGAAAAAAAACAACAGTAATAAGCTTTCGAATATCTAAGACTTTCCTTCATAAGTTATGCTCTAGTTTATATTCCTTGTAATCCTGTTATCTTATCTCTTCCTGCCGAGAAGGGATTCTCCTAGTATTTCTGGGGCCTCCCTTTGAACTATGGGCATCGTCAGGCTCCCTGGATAAGGGCCAAGCTAGTCAAGTCATGAGTTTATGAACTGAGACCACTAATTAAACTAAACGTAATAAAATATAAGCATAATGAGTATAACAATCTCATTTGACGTAGAGAGCAAGAAATCATTAAGTGCTTGCTTTTTGAAAAATTGATTCTTTTTTTTTCCCCTTCAACCCTTGCTGTCTGCTATAATTAGCTGTGGACCAAGACGAGAAACAAGGCCAGTATTTGGTAGGGCAGATGGGAGCTGTGGTTGCACTGGAAACCTTAGAGCCAAGTAGTACTGATGGGGAAGAGAAGGAAGGAGACTGGAAAAGATTCTCTAGACAATCCAAAATCTGCCTGCAACGGCCATGCCTACTGGGACATGAGTGGTTGCCAAGATTGCTGGTGATAGGGTTTTTAGATTTTTAAAAAGAAGGCAGCAGCGAAAAAACGGTTGGAACAAACGTCATCAATGAGATTTCCTTTGGTGAAGTCATGACTTAAAAGGATGTGAATAATTTGAAATTTCTGTATGCACTTGTCACTCGTAGATGTGTTGTTTTCAAAGGAATTCCCATGGCAATCGGTACACGGCTAAAATTTGATCAGAAAAAAATGTGTTTTTTGATGTGATTTTGTTTTATCTGAAAGTCTGCTACCTTGTGTATTAATAAGAAGAATCAATTACCTCTAAGTCTTTATCCCTTCTCTCTTTGAAACATACAGAATCCTTATCCTGTGAATCCAACACTGGGAGCTAATCCTCCCATGGCTTTCAATCCTTACTTACCTCATCCTGGGATGGGCATGTATCCTCCGGAAGTGATGCAAAATGCACCTATTGTGATTCCTGGAAACCCACCTCTGACATTGCCAGGAGCTGCTGGTCCCAAACTGATGCGTTGTGATAGGCTGGAGGTATTTGTGTAGAGATATATAAGTTCTTATGGGATTGTCACATATATTAACCAGATGCAAAAAGTATTCTCAGAGGCCAATGTTTTCAATGACTGCATGTGGGATTTTAGTTTACAAGTTATAATCTCAGTCAAATAGCAAACCGTTTACTGGTACAATTATGGCATTGCCTCATTTGGCAAGCTAAGGCCTCGATATACCCTTCCATAGACTATATTTCTTTTGCTGAGGCACAGGAAGTGTACCCAGTTTTCAGTTTTATAGCATAGGATCACTATGTTTTTGTTCATGAGTCTCTACTTGCTGGAGTAATCAAACTGAACAAAAGTCGACTATTCTGACTCACTATGAATACAGATGCAAATCGATATGAATGAAGAATCCAAATGAGCTTCACAGAGTCTAAATCCTTTTCTTCATTTGCAGAATGATGTACTGGAAAATAAATATCCTTTGATGCTTAAGAAAAGAAACTCCAAATGAAATTTCAAATTGCTTTTGCTTTATGGAAGTCTTTCCGTCTTCCCTTAATTGTCATTCTTCATAAATTGAAATAAATAGCCGGTCGATTTCCTACAAATTCAGCTCCATTGTCAGTCCCTTAAATACCCAGTAATGTATCATAATGGAATCTAATGGTACATGTAACTCAGTCATGATTCACAAGTCTGCTGTGTAAAACAACCAATGCATGACTGCTTGATAAAGATGCATCTCAGACCTTAAAAAAGTAATCCCTGCTAGGAGCATCACTAATTATCCTTTAGGCTGCTTATTAAATGGAAGATTAAAAAAAATGATCTTAAAGATCTTTACGCACTTTTATGTCAGCAAAACCGGCCACTTTCATTGGGGGAGAATGGACCCCCCCCTCCTCCCCCAGAAATAGAAATGTTGTCAATGTTGACAGCTCATAGAAAATATAAATTTGCATTATCTTAACTATCTTTAGATGGTTTTCCTAAACAAATTCACAAGGTAATGTATACTGTTACTATTACGTTCGCTGGAAAAATAAGCACAAGTGAACCACCTGACAGCTATCAATGTGATGTTGCTTTTTCATTTTCCATCTTTCAGGTCTGCCGAGAGTTTCAGCGTGGAAACTGTACCCGTGGTGAGAATGATTGCCGCTATGCTCACCCTACTGATGCATCCATGATCGAAGCAAGTGATAATACCGTGACCATCTGCATGGATTACATCAAAGGTCGATGCTCCCGGGAGAAATGCAAGTACTTTCATCCTCCTGCACACTTGCAAGCCAAACTCAAAGCGGCTCATCACCAGATGACCCATTCAACTGCCAATGCAACAGTAAGGGTAAGTCCACATGTGGGTATTGAATTTTGAAGTTCATGGTTGTTAGTATACCCCCAAACTTGTCTATCATCCTGTATATTCCTAAGTGGTCCTGACCATAATGCTCGAAAAAGAAGATCCTATCTATTTAACTTAAATAAAAAGCCAAATATTTTCAAAAAGTTAAATAGTTAAAAGCTTTACTAATGATTTTAGCCTACTACACTCTTTCTCCCATTTGAAGTGAAAAGGTCAATGATAGGATTTTGATGTTGTTTATAGCCCCACTAAATGGCTTCTCTGCTCTATGAACTACCTTCAGGGACTCTTGGCCAGTAACATTGGTGATGCCTCTCAAGAACCTGGGACTTGAAAGATGGGATGATAAGTAGGTTTTCATTTCCCAAAGTCTGAGGTTTATTTTCCTTTCTGTAGGGGGGTGGTGGCTTCCAAGTGCCCGAGGCAGCAGCCAGCCTAGGTAGGGGATGAGGGGTGGAAAGATGATAAAAATGTCTTCATTGTTGGAAAAAGAGCACTGGGTTGTCCCAGCAAGCTTTGGGGAATGTTAGCCTCACTTAACACCGAAAAGTTACAAAGTAGGAAAAATATTTCTGTCATAAATTGAGCAATAGAAAGTCTACTTCCTTAATAATTTGTAATACCTGTCAATCATTTCTTTTATGACCTGAGCCTTCCCTCATGTACCAAAACCAGATCAAAGACACTGCCACTGAGTGGGGAAAGCAGCTACCAACCTTGGCAGCCCAAGACATGCAATGTTGACCGAAATCTCCTCACATATTTATATTCCAAGTCCCATGGCAGTGACCTTGCCCTTCCACAAGTGTTACTTGTTCTTTTTGATCATCCCTATTGGTTAGGTTTTTCTTCATCCCAAGCTAAATTTTATCTTTCCGTAACTGGAACTTCATAAATCAATCGATGTTCCATGTGAGAATGAATCTTATCTTTTCAGAAGGAAAATATTCCATGTTTCCAACCTTTTCTTGTGGATTATTGTTTCAAGGACAACCTGTTTTTTGTTTTGTTTTTGTTTTTTACTTGCTGCCCTTTCTCACTACCCTGCCCTCTCAGAGCTAACCCCATTCCTCCAGGAAGGATGTGAGCACCAAAACAGAAAAGATTTATTATTGCTCTCATTCTGGACAGCATACATATGCTCATGAATCTCAGATTCTTAACTCAACCCAAAGAGTGAAACATGTTCAATCAAATACAATTTTTAAAAGATTTTATGGGTTTTTTTTCCTGAAATTCTTTTGAATGGGGCAATTTTAGGCTATGAACAAAATACTCCAGGTAGAATTCAAAAGTCTGCATTTTCATAACTTAAATGGATGTCTTGGGTCATAGAATAGATGTGGACCAGTTAACAATGCATCATGGAATGATATTCTTTAAAATAAAGGTTCTCATATGTATGGGATATAGAAGAAATGGCTTAGTTGTGCCATTGTGTCCCTGTAACCATGCTCAGGCAGGCAGCCTTCATATATGTGAGCCCATTTCTGATGATTTGGGAATGTTTCATAGAACACCCTAAAAGTTAGCCCCAAGTCCCCATTAGAGAGCTAAATGTTATATAGCAGGCCTTTCGTTGGTATTTGTGAATATCAGCATAAAATTTCTTTCTGAGGGAGCCAATTAAAGGCCAGGTCTTAGGGGCAAGGGCAAATTGGCTCATAGGAATTTGCTTGAGGTAAGATTAAGCAAAGAAGACTAATGAGTAAATATTTAGTTAATCTACAGACTTGGGCAAGTGTTATTAAGCAAAATATTTAATAGTAGTACAGGCACCACCTAGTCAGAATTGGGCACTGATCTATCAGAATGGACAGCAGAATAAAAAGAACTACCCAACCCAGGTGTTACAGTTGAAAATGAATGAATGTCCATCTAGCCCCCACATGAATTTGTAATTTGTGGGCCAACACATCTTTGGTTGTGATGCTTAATCCGTAAAGATCGGTGGTTCCAAACCTTGCTGCACATGTGAAAAGTGACTGTGTCCTAAACCGGAGGGACATTTCTATTCTGTCCTATAGGGTCACCCTGACTAGGAATAGACTCAGTGGCAATGAGTTTGGTTTTTGTTTGGGGTTTTTTTGTCATCCAGAACTCATTTCTACATTTGGAAACGGAATCTCGAAAGCTTACTTTAGAACAGAGTCTCCATGAGCTTGATTGGCACCATGGCTCCAGCCAGCATCATCACCACCCTTGTGAGGATGGTGCTGGACTGGCAGCCTTTTGGTGTACTCTCCACAGGGCTTCAGTGAGTCAGAGCTGACTGGATGGCACCTGGCAGCAGCAACAAAGCTTACTTGGTTTGCTTGGTTGTATTTTTCGAGCATTGTCTTACTGTAGGAGATATTTCAAAGCAGAACGGTCTGCTGTGTGAACTAGCATTGAGTGTGCATCAGCATAGAGAAGAAAACAGGGATGAGATACTTCTGAGCCTTTGTGATCCCCAAGAATTACGAGATCGTGGCATACCACTTTGGGACAACACAAGCATTTCTTAAGAATTTGGTGCATGGCAAATTGTGTTGCTGGGACATGTTTTTGAAATAAAGTGTGAGTGTGATTCACTGAGGGAAAAAAACCAAACAACAAGCAATGTTCAGTTGCTTCAGTGAATCTGGTCCAGGGGCAAGTTTGAGTATTATAAGCACTGTGGGATTTTTGAAAGAACTGTAGGCGTGACAGGAGGATTTGAAAATGTGAATAGGTTTTCAGATTAAATTTTACAAGGGTGCACCAAAGAAAATTGCACGTAGCAGAATGCACAGCAAGACTCAGTGACAATCACGTACATGTTGCGGCTGGTTGTCTGTCGTACTTAGGTGGCGTGGGCAGTGCTGAGGAAGCACTCGTTTGCTTTCTCCGTATCTGTTGCTTTGGAAATGTACAGTTCTCGGATTTGAACTGGAAGTCTTTGTATAAATTGGATTTGAGTTCATGGGGTTATAGTTTCTGACTCTGTTCTACTAGCATCTGTTTCAGCAGCTGAATATGTACCATGTATCTCCAAGACCCCCCATGTGGCATTTTAACTCACAGAAATCTGTTCCCTGCTCGATCAATTGCTTCTACTGGTGTCGAATTTTAATCAATGAAGAGATCAGCATCCCTGAAATGTCCATTTTAAATGATGATAACCTGAAGCCACTTTCTGCTATCTCCTGCCCAAAGAGAGGTGTTTTTTTCCTATTTACTGGAATTAGTGAGGCTAGCACGGACGGTCTCGTCCTCATAGCTGTCTTTTCTGAGGCTGGGTTTGCACCGTTTGGGACTAACAGCTCACCTAGAGAACTGCTTAGTCTCTGCAATAGTTACTTGGCTGTGGAAGCCTCTGCTTAATGAATGTCGTCCTCACATTGGATAGATAGATACCTTTGTGCTTGGGCGGTTCAAGTAAATCTATTTTGCTTTATATGGTACTATGTTTTAATCCATACCTTTGTCACAGGCCCTCCAACCTGGTGCAATGCAAATGATACCAAAGAGACCATCACTTGAAAAGACCAATGGTGCCACCCCGGTCTTTAATCCTAGTGTTTTCCACTGCCCGCAGCCTATGGCTAACATGCAGCTCCCGCAGCCGGCATATATCCCCGCAGGTGAGAACAGGGCTCTGAGTACTGGGAGGTTAGTGATGTGATGAATGTATGCAAAGTATAACGGCTGCCAGGGAACTTTTATGAGAAGATCATCAACAAGGATTTTACCTAGAAATAAAACAAAGCCGTTATATTTGATCTGCTGGTATAGAGAACAAGTTGTTTTTCTTTGATTCCTAAAAAGGAATGTGTCAAAATCCAACAAGAAAAAGGTGTCTATGTTTTGTATTTTTAAAATTTCTGCTGGTTCACTTGGTTCTCTCTCAAACTAATTCCTTGACTCAGGTATCACCATTAGAGACAGTGGTCTGCCTTCCAAGAAAAAAAAAATTTTTCCCCCAGCTTCAGCATTGCAAAAATATGTGACCTATATATCCTGGACACACCAAAGGCAGTTCTCATGAAAAGAACTGTAAATGATGCTGTGATAAGGGAGACAGATGAGGCTGTGTACTCCCATAAAGATGTACAGTCTCAGAAACCCCTAAGAACAGTTCTATTCTGCCCTATGGGGTCCTAATGAGTAAGAATTGACTCGAAGGGCATGAGCTTAGTTTCTTATGGTTGTTGTGAAGAGCCTGACTGGTGCCAGTGGTTTATGAACAGCCGCTAGCCCTAATGCTGGCAATTTGAACCCGCCCAGCTGCACCCCATCAGAAAGGCCTAGCCAGAAAACTCCATAAAGCGGTTGTTATACTCTGTACTACTTGGGCAGACTCAATGGCAACTAGCAACAACTGTATAGTATAATATGAGGGAGTTTCAAAACTTCATGGAAAACAGTTCTTTTAAAAAAGAGTGTGAATTGGGTGAAGGTTTACAGAGCCAAACCATAGGTTTACACTCACCGGTCCATACACATTTTATTCCATCTCATTTATTGCAGCATCTTCAATGTAGAATCACATATCCCACTTCTCGGTGTTTCCTATTGGCATTCTGCCTTTTCTCTAACCCTTCTGCACTCTGTTCTTGGGTAAATGCTACCCTTTGGGGTCATAAATGGTAGATTTGTCTAATACGGGTGAGTTCTGTTCCAGACCTGAAGGCTGCCTAAGGGGCATTGTCCTTGGTGCCCCACCAGTCTTCATTGGATCGGTAAAGCTGGTCTCTTTTCTGATTTTTAATTTTTATTCTACATTTTATTCCACTTTATCGAGGACCTTCTAATACAGTCCTTTTCAGAGTAGTTGGTAATGGTAGCCAGGCGCCATTGAGTTCTTCTGGTTTGGGGGTTGTGGAGACTACTCCATCTTTCCATGAATGTTTTGAAGTATCCATGTACAGTATATTATTGGACATAAAATAGGTCGTTTCAGCCTCTCATTCTTAAACCACTTAATATCAGAGACAAAGCAATTGATTAATTTTTTGTAACACGTTTAGCATATTTTTATGTTACCTTCTACATTCAAATGTATTTTATAGTATAATAGTTTTATGCCACATTGAATAAAACGTGCTTATGTATGTGGGTAAATACTCTTCTGTTAGTGGTTTGATTAAGAATGAGCATATAGTCTTCATGAAATAAATTGAAAACACCCATCACTAGGGGTATGGTAGGTTTTTATTTTTACTAAAGTAATAAATGTGCCAGATTAGAAACTATTATTTAAAGAAAATGGCATATGTTTTAAAATTAATATAGAAAGCCTTCTTAATGCCATAAACATGCTAAACACATTATTGTGTGCCCAGGACTTGGAAAGAAAACCATTGGGTAATTAGTGAATTATTCAGATAATTCCTTTGGAAAGAATTCATGAAAAACAACAAATGGCGCCAGTTTAGAAACTAATATTGAGGAAAATGGCATATTCTTTAAAATTATATACTCATACTAAACCCTTCTTGTATTTTACATCACTTATAAAAAGTAATCATTGATATGTAATGATTAAGATTTTCCCCCTAACCTAAGGAGTGGGGGGAAGACAGGCTTTCTATTCCTGTAGAGTTACAGCTTCAGTCACTTACAGCGGCAGCTCTGCTCTGTCCTATAGGGTCGGTATGAGTTAGCATCGACTCAGTGGCAGTGAACCTAAGGAAAAAGTACAATGCTCACTTTGTTCAGAAGTCAGTCTTTTGGATGTGTGGTGCTAGATTTGACCTCTAAAGTCTGGATTTAAAGAAAGATGTCAAGGGAGTCCCCTTCTCCATAATCAATGGCAAGATAAAAACCTATCTGACTGAGAACTTCTTCTTAATGAAAAGCCTATTTGCCATATTTTCATAGTCCAGTACTTGGTTACAATGGAGGCACTATTAATAGTATAATGCCTTCAATAGAAACATTGGTACCAAATACTAGACCTTGGTGTATGTTTTCAATATAACAGGTGTAATAAAATTAAAATATTTCTCCCCTAATGAAAATCACTAAGGATGTATTGGTTCAAAGTCAATACATGTTTTTAATATGCTAATTCTGTTTCATCAACATTAAAGATAAATTGTAAACCTAACAATTCAAGAATTACTTTGATTAACTGGGCATGTCATCTTAAAGCTAATCTGTAACCATAAGCATGGGAGATTGCTGGGTTTGCATGTGCTGGTTACTTAATATTGCGAAGAGCAAAGAAAATATCTTTCTAACGACTTATGTTTTTTCTTTACTTTTCATGCTTTTCTGCATGATGTACAGGGCCAATGCTGTGCATGGCACCCACTTCAAACATTGGTAGGTTTTTCAAGACAACTTCTCAACTTTTTTCGAATCTGAAAAAAAACAAATGTGTTTTTCTGCTGTGCCTGTGAAAGTGCGGAGTGACTGCATGACATGGTTGCACACTCCTTGATTCCTTAACGGATTCATACGGCGCTGGCTATTTCAGGTCTTTGTGAGACAAAGCAGCCCGACTTTCTCCAGTGTCAGTTGGTTGCCACTGTGGCCAAGCCGTGGCCCTGCTATTTCTTTATTTCTGCCGTAAAAACAGCAACTGAAATATCTTCAAATATTTCCTGACCAGGCCAGACTGGGCAATAGTGTTCCTAGATTTATTGCTGTTATTTTAAAAATAAAATTTTAAAACATATCAGATTTAGAATTTTTAAATCATAATAAAATAATTCATCCCCCAAAAGACCTAAGCCATTCAATACTCAAATGTTGCAAAGCGGAGGGGGGGCGGTTTGAGTCAAGATGTAGAATTCTAGCATGCTTACAAGTCTAGAATGATACACCTTTCTGCCCAGAAAAGAGGTGTAACAGAATTTCAGAATAACTTTTGGGGAAATTAAGTGGCCTTTTTAAACAACCAGCCCCACTCAGGTTCTTCAATTAGCCACCACCACAAACGGTAGTCCACTATAAGATATTTTCCACACCACTAAGACAAGGCTGTCTACTACTGTGAGGATTTGCCGTCTTGGGAACCCACGGAGACAGTCCTACCCTGTCCTATAGGGTCACTATGGTTAGAATCTACTCCATAGCAGGGAATTTGAGAATGCTAAAGATGAGAGCGTGACTACTTCCTTCTTGAGAACTGGAGAGTTCACAGGTCCTATAGTTCTCGTGGTCACCAGAAACAGGCCAGGAGAATACAGCTCTACTGTTCATTCAAGAAGGAATGATCTCATCCACCCCAGCCATCGCATTAAAATCCAGCTCCCTGCATCTGTTTTGAGATATTAAACCCCATCCCATAGATGGGCCCAAGAGTAGATGCAGAGACCAAAAGAGACGAGCGGGTTTAGTGGGGGCAAAATGAGAAGTCGAAATGACAACCACATTCACTAACATCGCAAGGACTGAACCTAGGCAACGGAAGTGAGGCCTCTGTTACAGGGAGATTGAGGGGCAATTAGCTGCTCCTTGCCTGGTTCATGGAATCTCCATTGCGGCTAAAAGGAGCACTATATGCATCTGATTAAAAGAGCAGACATCTGCAAGCTTATGAATTGTGGCTGTTTCCCCCAGGATGTCCCCTTGTCCTTTCCTTAGTGCTCTGCTTAGGAATACAATTTGCATGCTTCAATAACGCTGCTTCCTGTCCAATTGCTTCACTCTCAAAGGAAAACCACAAATGTTTCTAGATTGGGCATGTGAGACAATAAAGGATGGCTACAGACGGACTAATTACAAAGAAGCACAGGGGACAACTACTGAGTTCTGGGACTCACCATTTAGGGTGTAGTTTGGGTTCTATAACATTACATATGCTGATTGTCCTCTCCAGTCTATTCCTTTTGTCCAGATTCCAGAAAATCTGAATTCAACAGATGTAAATGTGACAGATTATTATATATGCATGTTTTTCGTTCATGCACCAATTCCTTGGTGTGCTTTCCAAAGTAAGTTAGAAGCTATGAAAGCCGTTGACAGAAAAACATCCGGAAAGAGATGTTGCAGCTGCTAGCCATTGTAGCTGTGATATTTAGTATAAAGACAAAATGTTACTGGTTCCTTACTATGAAAGTGTCCAAGGACTTTGGAAGAGGTGTCCTTAAAAACCTGCATGCATACTCGACTGCTCCTTTACCACATACTCTGCTCCCTTAACACATACTCGCCAATCAAACTACCATTTAGGGGCAGGCTTGTATCTACAAATCTAGGGAGAGTCCTCATGCTCCAAAGTCAGTGACCACAGATACCAATTCACAAGGCTAATCTACTTTGAATGTGCACTCCACTTACTTAATCTGCTTAACTAGCTCTTTGGATAGACAGCCCTGGAAGAATCCCTTGATGGTGGTTTTGTGGTTGTTGTTTTTTTTCATATGCACCCATTGTAATCCCTTCTAAAATTTGACCTTTCTTATTGTGGATGTATATATATAATATATAAATATGCAATATGTATTATACATATATACATATCACATCATTTGCCAATTTAACATTTTTTCCCTGTACAGTTCAATGGCATCAGTTACATTAATCATATGCAACCATCACTAATGTCCATTGCCAAAATTTCCATCACCATAACTGACTCACTGTTTCCTAAAACATTGACTCCCCCTTAAGCCCACACTCAATCTTGCTTGCCCCTGGTAACAACTTTGGACTCCAGACATTTGACAGTTCTAGACATTTCATGTAAGTGAGAAAACATACCAGATTTGCCCCTTGGTGAGTGACTTAATTCACCCTGCATAAAACTTTCAAGGTTCATCCATGTTTTAGCATTGAGTCAACTACATGATTCTTTTCAAAAACGTACTAAATGTTGAGAATGGTTTTGTTTTCATGAATGGTAACTATAATTGGCTTTTCCCCTTTTCTCTTTTTAAATTCTTCCCCCTTCCATGTTGTGTTGCTTTGCACTGACTGATTGCATGTTGCACCCTGGTGTATCCATCATGATGATGTCACGTGGCTGTTGCTATGAAACCTACCATGCTCCATTTGATCGTGTATGTCATGGTTGCATAAATGCGCCGCCCTCCCGTGTATTCTTCCGTGGTTTCCTACCGAAAGTGCCCATGATGCACGGTGCTACACCTACCACTGTGTCTGCAGCAACACCACCTGTCACCAGCATCCCCTTCGCTGCAACAACCACTGGCAATCAGGTTTGGCCATTTATTTCACCTGTTGAAACCTAAGTAACTGCAGTGTGTGTAAGGCATGGGAGATGCTTGGGGGAGTGGTGAGAGACACTAGTTCATGCTTGTAATTGTTTCCTAAGCAGTTGCCACATTTAGAAGTTTCATTTTGTGTAATTCTAGAATGCTATGTGGGGTTTGTTACTCAACGTACGTTTCATCAGAAGTTTACATACATTTAATCAGTTACCAGATGTCGTTTCACTATACCCTATCCAATGCTTTCTGTCATGTCAATCCTCAAATGTGTATGCTAAAATTGATCAAGGGTGGAACTGATTTTCTTTTGCTACCACTTTGGGTTATCATGTTTAAAATTTCACTTAACCCAATCATCATCTTTAGCTTCAGCTCCACGGGAAAGAAAGCAAAATATATGCCTTTCCAGGGCACAGATAATCCGTATCCTTACACAGTGTTGAAAACAGACATTTCTTCTCCTGTTGGATGTGCTCGTGGTGTTTAAATCGTCATTTGGGTGGGCTATTTCCATTCCAGGCCAAGTCGCAATGTAAATGAGAAGTTTGAGAAGACACAAACAATAAGTCTTGTGTACTGTTGTGGCCGTTTGGGCCTTCTGACAGTGCTAGCCATGCTTTCAGATGGCAGATTTCGCTGTTCTTTCATTTTGATTTCCAGCATGATAGCCATAGATCTATCACACAGCACATTAATTCATTAGATTGAACTGGATTCTAATCTGTGCTTTCTAAAATTAACCCTTAGTGGACATGATTACTATTTCTAAATTTTTCTGTGAGGTTGGATATGGTTATTGACTACCATGTCGAAGCAATGATCAGAATACGCCAAATGATTTTAGATTTTAAATCTAAAAATCTTTCTTACTACTATAGATAATCCAGTTGTTAATAGATGAACTGAATAGCAACATGTTTGTTTCACAGATGTAGAAGTTGCCAGTAGATCAGCACATTTATTTAAATATCAATGGAAATAGTATTTATTGGTTCTACCTTTTATTTACATAATTATATTTGCTTAAGACTTTGGTAAATATTTGGGTTATCATGTTTAAATAGCTAAATAGGTCCTCTAAATCATAAGGAATGTTTTTAACAGACATCATAGAGTATGTGAAAGAAGTAAAGTAGCTGTGAACTGGAATATTTTTCAGAGGCGTCTTTTGGGATAGTGGCAACTTAAGAATAGTTAGTACCAAATATGAGAATGTAAGTTTCGCAAATAGTTGTCCAAACCTGGTGGGCTGCTTCACACCAAGTAAACAAAAATTGTCAAATATTATCCACTTTCCACCTGAAAATGCTTGGGAAGAGTAATTCCTTTTAATTTGATTCCATTTTAAATTCTTGATGTATTTGGCAGAACATACTTCAGTGTGTAACAGATGTTGAAAATTTCTCAAAAATGTAATTTTGCACAATATTATATACAGCCAGTCCCCAACGTATGACAGGGTCCCATTTCGATAAACTCTGGTGTAAGTCAGTTCTGATGTTAAGTGCAATACCTCTTTATTTTCTTAAGTTTTTGTTGTTACTGCCTTTCATTATCAGAATTTTTATAAATACAATATTTGGCATTAGGGGTTGAAAATACTAGATATAAATTTACAGATATATTTTAATACATACATAAAATATGCAGATCATAAGAAATTGATGGATAGCCTTTAGGATAATCCATTGTAACTCCACCGTAATCCTCAGCAAGAACCTTAGACTGCCGTAGGCTCGTGGTCTTCAGTGATCATTTCCAGCAGCTTCATTTTTCAGATACAAAATGTGAAATGTGAGTGGGGAATACCTTGGAATATTTCACCAAGGGACGTGGGACAAGAACCACAGTATCCAGGTCCTATTTCAATAACCCTTTAATTTTCTCACTTTCTTTTCTTTTTTCTCCATTTCAGTGGAAATTCTGAACAGCAGAGTCATGGAGTATCGGAATCTCTGCGTGAGAAGCTCTATATGGCCTTTCTATATATATTCTAGTATGTCCTCTTCTACCAACTCAACAATAGGTGTGGTGCAGTCAATATATTAAGCAAAATACACTTACCAACAATTAACATCAAAATCCAAACATTAAATTCAATGTCCATGTTAACAAAATGTGAATGGAAAAACTACCATTTTCTTATTTGAATATATCAAGTATAATGTGACCGTTCAATTTTACAGTTTATGTTACCCTTTCTCATGTTTCAGCAACCACTGTGCTGAGTGCGTCTTCAAAGCGGGTTGTTGGTTTACTGTGCATTCTTGGTGGAAAAAAATATTGGTTTGATTATGAAGTGTTACTCTTTTGTTTACATGATAGGCTATTAGGTTAATTTAGAAGTATCTAATGTCTCCAATACCATTTTCCTTTTATTCTACTAAATTGTGTTGTGTTATGGTAGATGTGCTGTGTTTGATTGAAACTAAAATGTTACTGATGGGAAACAAAAACATGTGCTTGAAAAAACATGAGAGGTTAATGTTTGTATGTTTTCCCTTTTGGATATTTCTGTAAGTTTCTTGGGGCAGACGTTTAAAAGGCCTCACTTGCTGAGTGTATACAACTGTTTGTAAACATGCATGTATATAATTTGTACCTGTAGATCTGGCTTTGTAACGTAAGAACACCTTGCTAGATTTTTTTTGGCGGGGGGGATGGTGAGAGAGATATAATTACCTGCACAAAACAGTGTCACCCTTAAAACCCCAACCTCTAATTTCACTCCCTTTAAATAGCTCCTTGATTTTAAAAATGAAGAATTTACCTTTAAATCAACTTGTCAACATTTATCTTGAAATTATGCTAAGGGCTCATTACAGTTTTTTGTGGCTCAAGGATTCTATCTCCTTGGATGAGTGTCTAAAACTTAGCCTTTTGAAATTGTCAGCAGAGAAATGAGCACTTGGAGTCTTTTAAAGGTATGCTAATTGCGGGTTCTAAATTACACAGGGAGATGGAGAAATGGCGCTCATTTTACATATTAGAAAGCCTGTGCACACCATCGCACTGTCACCTTTTACAGAGGGCCAGGTTCTAAATGCAATGGCTCAGCATTTTTAGACTACTCTTTGAATAATAAGTAAGAGACAATCTAGTAAAAGTCATACAGAGTGAATGAGAATTGGTTCCAAATGAGGCCTTTCCTCCTTTAAACGGACAATCTGCACTGTTGATCACAGATGTAACTTGACAACAGGTTTGGAGAAATGAACGAGAGAGAAGGTAGGGTGGCATTGAAACTGTCCTTTAATTTATCCCGGAACTCTAGAAAGGGTTATCCCTACTGAGTTTTGGGAACCCTACTGGTGAAAGAGCAAGTGCCAGTGATATATGGCAAGTGGATCCCTGCCCAAACTTCATACCTATCAGAATCTCCCCAACCATAACCAAGCCTCCTATTTTGTTTAAACGTTTCCATTTATCTGTCTATGTGCTTGAAAATTAGCATAGAGAGGCTGTTAGCACCCTTTGGATGAGACAAAGTGGCTGCACTCCTTATAGGGGAGCTGAATTCCCATTAGGAATATCTGTAGAGTAACGTTGCCACCCAGGAAAATGGTAATCGATCAGTGCCTGTGCCATGTGGCAGACCTCATCCACTCTACTCAGTTATGAAAAGTTACTATTGTTATAAAGTGAAAACATATATTTTACAAGACAGTAGATAAATTTACTATTTTATACTAAATATATATTCTCTCACTAGAATGTGTAAAATCATCAAACTTAATAGGTTTGTTTTTCTCCTTAAAAAAATGATAATCAAAGAAAACTATATGATATATGGTACCTACAGCCAGCTTGTTGTATTCAAATCACAGAACAATGGACACCTTTTCACCGATGGTGTGAGGGAGGCCCAGGGTATGTGACTTGCTCCAGGCTACCTAGCTAGTTGGTGGAAGTTGGTCCCAGTGTTTCTTGACTCCCAGTTGTTACAGCATTTCACTAGTGCTTCAGAGCATTTGAGACTCCACTCCACAGCTCATTGATTTGGCTCAGAATACAAGAGTGCGGAATGAGCGTTTTGACAGTTGAGATCCTGGTGATCTTAACCATCAAGCAAATCATCAAAAGTGATCTTGCTTATACCAAGCCACGGTCATCGATTAGCAGTATTGCCTGGAGTTAAGAGAACTCAGAAGTGTCTTAACCTTTACCTGTTGATGGCTTTGAATCACATTATTTCTAGTTCCCTAAATCTTAGCAATGTTATAGAAGAAAGTAGAGTCCACCTTTTATAAACTACTTGTGTATGGAACTGAATTTTATATAACATGTGCCAGTGCCTCTCCAAAGGTCAGATCTGATCACCAGAATACAGGCAGGATGCACCTGAGCTCCCCTGGATGTGGTCCTTAATGGAGATGAGAAAGTTTTCAGTGCAAAATGAAATGTTGAGTACCCTGACATTTTGATACAATGTCCTATTTCTTTCACCTGTTTGAACTTGTGAAAGCGCTCTACATAGATCTTAAACCTAGAGTACAGCAGTTTTCATATTGCACTGGAAACCATTAATAATGACTTATTTTTCAGTAAGAGGTACAGTGAGAGGAGCTCAAAATAGTTGTATTTTTGGTGCCACTTTTTTTACATTGTTGGCATCTTTGTAGAGGGATTTAAAGAAAGAAAGTTCTAAGCACTAAAGTTTGGGTGCAATTTAAGAGAATTTTGACAAAAAAGTTTTAAGGTTGCAAGCACTCTTTAAACAAGTGGTGCAATGACATTCAAATTTTCTTTATGCAAGTAAAGAAGATAAGTCATTAGACTATAAATATTCAGTTAAAAAACAAGTCACAAAAGTAATCGGTTAGTGACTCTAAACAATGATTTAATAATTGAATTGTATATATATACAAAATTCCAATCACTTAATTCTTAGCATGGTATAAGCTTTCTCTTCTCTGTAGTCCTTTATTTTTAGTCATCCAAAGTTTTTTGTTTTGTCTTTTTTTTTGGGGGGGGGGGGGTGTTTCCAGTTCTCTCAGCCTTTTGTAAAAAACGCAAGAATGATGAAACCTGGATAAAACATCCAACATACAAAACAAGGAATCTAAAAGTTATCATTTAAAGGGATTTAATGATATCCATTAAATAATAAAGCAGTGCGTGGCCATCATATCTTAAAGAGGGATTTAAATGAAAGTAAAATCAAGTGGATTCATAAAATTGCTATTTCAATACAGTATTTCCCTTTTGAAACTGGAGCATGATTCCACAACCAGCTCTTACATTTCATTTCACTTTTCTAGTTTAGTTTTTCAGTTTTAGTTATTGGTCCTGTGGAATGCCATCTTTCCACTTCTCTATCAATTCCATTCATTGTTAAGCATGTTAAAGCCCCTTCACCTTGCCTTAAGTGTTGTCCTTCACAACTAGGCTGTGTTTCACTGATGAGCATCCTCAGCTCACCTGCTTTCCAGTTGGGAAAAAGCAGGGACCCTCCGCCATGCGATGAGTAGGAACGGAGTAAAAGTAATCTTCACAATTTGAATCTACTGTTACTAGAATGGCCAATAAGCATAGCGGTGTCTGAATAAGGAACATTGACATTACATGTTTTACAAAAGAGAGAAGGTGCATATGCTACTTGGAATGTTCTTTGAACCTTTGGAAAGTAGATCGGGATGCTCTTGGATGAGATGCAGCCCAAGTTTGCTGAATTCTTTCAGGCTGTAGGATCTACTGTGAGGAACAGAATAATTCAAGTCTGGACTCCTCATTCTTTTTATCCTTTTTACATTTAACACACATTGAAATAGAAATAGGAGAAATAAATTAGTGAAAGCTAATTTTCCAATTCTGTTGAATAGATTTAGCCAAATAGCTTATTTTCTTAGTGCTGTTGAAAGCCGTAAAACAAACAGTAGGTAAAAGAGAATAACAACTTTTGGCAAATTTAATTGATGGCCTAATCAGATTGCAAATATAAATGTAAGTTTTGAGCACCTTAATTGGTGTCACACGTTGACTTTTAGTTTTTTAATGTTTTTATTATATTACTTCTTTTATATCTAAGTAACTAAAGGATTTTGAAGGAGAGCTAGAGAAAGTTTAAGTTTGTACTGCATGTATTCCACCTGCCTAGTTATGTTCTAAACTGACATTGAAACATGACAAGGTATAGATTATAGTCCATAACTACCCTTGGCAGTTCACAGTTTAAGAACAAATTTGACTTTATATACAGATAATAATTCAATGTTAACTATTTCTATTTAGTTGTTGCTTGACAACAAAACCACAACATGGCTACCTGTAGGCACATTTTGTGTGTGTGTGAACATTTTACTTGTAAATTCAACATGGTTTTTGACAGTGTGAGTTTGTAGAAGATACAGCTCCAAACTCTCAACACAATATATTTGTAGGGGATTTTTTGTTGTTGTTGTTGGTTTTTAAATCCCAAAGTCCCATGTGAAAGCTGAATTTGTGTCCTTGTGTGGCTTTTTTTGTCAAAAAAGTTTACAACACATGGATTCTAGAGTCAGGTTGTATAGCTTATAGAATTTGTTGTGTGGCTAGGGTTATTCCACAGTATCCAGACGTCAAACACAATCATTTATTTATTCACAGTTACACTCTTCAAGTAGCATAGATGTAGCTGCAAAAGTTCTGTTTTCAAGCATGACATATCTACACAAATATATCTAAATTAAGATTGACCCATTGTGTGAAAAGAACTCATTTCTAAAACCACACATTAAGATACTGTGGAACAACCCCTTAACAGTGTTGAAGAGGAAAAATGCTGCAGTTCCCGATTGCCTCAGTTTGGGTGCGAATGTGTGAGACACCTTTTTTGCACTTATGTACATAGTCCATGAAAGCAGTTCTCAGAGCTTTGGTTGAAGATAAGAAGTCTGTGAGAGGAGTGGAAAGTTAGTACGAGTTCTAAAGCTGTGAGAAGGAAGGATTTCTTTTCTATAAGACTTACTTAACATATAATATTACTTTGCTGTTGTGAAGTTTGTCTTGTTTGTAACAGCTCACCAAAATACAAAAACAAGCAAACAAACAAAAAACCGAGACTTATAACAGGCCAACCTTAGCACATAGCACCGAACAAAAGTAACACTACGTCATCCTGGAGCAAGACCAAGCAAAGATTGTTTGCTCTTTTAATTAATTCTCACTCTAAACACACACACACACACACACACACACACCCAACACACACACAGAGGCAGGTTTCTGATGGAGGTTTTCTTTTTGCAATGGAATGCACTAAAAATTACAAGACAAATATCCCCATTAGAGTCAAATCCAATTTCCTCTTTCATGGAAAATTATCAGTTTGTGTATTGTTACTCATTAGTATGCATATCGAAAACTATAATTGACAATCAAATTGCTAATGTTGATCGTGGTTCCTCCTTTAAAATCCAGAATTCAAAACCAATTTGGGAACCACAGAAAGATTTCACTTTTAACAATTGAGTAAGGCCAGCATTGGACATTTCATTACCTTTAACCAATGGGGAAAATGCTCCTGTCATAACTTTATAAATGGCTTGACTTGCACTATTGATATTATACCTGTTTGGTGAAGGCTGTTTTCAGACTTACATATCTGAAAGCGTTTCACTGTGCCACTTTAGCCACCCACTGCTCAGCTGTAACGAAACATAAGAAAAGCAGCCAGCCACATGCTTGGACAGAGTGGGCGTTGGAAGAGAATGCTTCAGTCAGACCCTCTCTGCCAATTTTAGCTCCCACATCACTCACAGATGGCCACTTAGCTTTCTTGTGGCCCCTACGTAATACAATATGGCCTAAAAAAAGCCAAGGTTCAAAAGGCTTAAGGGTCAATTACTGTTCCTACAGGGACTTTGAGTCCTTCATATTTCAGGTAGTAGCCCTAGAAACGTTGCTGGAAGACTTAACTAAAATATAGAGAGAACCCATCCGGGACTGGTTGGTATTAGTATTGCTACATATTTTGGCAGTTCTTACTATAAAGACAGGAAAATAAACTAATGCCAGAAGGCAATCCTAGCCGTACAGTTGTCCAGTAGCTCAGGGCCAGTTGGCTAGAAAATCTTTTGATTTTTTTATTCCCTTAACCATACAGTAAACAGTCTGACCATCTGATCAGCATATATAAAAAATATATCTTGATGTAAAATTTAAGTACATCAGCCTTATTGTCAACATATTTTCCCAATTTAGCTCATGTTCTTGTGTTGACATATCTTTGTGATTGTGTAAGCCACAGAATAGACTTCTATAAGGTTGATAGAGATGTAAGATTTTAAGAAAGATTCATCTGTAATATCATCAAAATGAACCTAGAAAGGGTGAACTTTATAGATTTATATTAAAGTAATATGTTACAGTGTTGAAAATGGAAGTTCACATTTTGGGTAGAAAAAAACCTGATTTTTAAAACACCTATCAGTAAGAGAAGGCGTCCTGGTGGTGCAGGGATTGAAGCTCGACTGTTCACCTGAAGTTCGGAGCTTAAGACCCACTAGCAGCTCTGCGAAAGACAGATTCCTTCCTGTCTCTGTAACAATGACAACCTTGGACTGTTGTACTCTATCACATGGGTTTGCTACGAGCCAGAACCGGCTTAATGGCACACACAACACTACAGTAGATAAGAAAATGATTAGCTCAATACAATGATTATAGATTTAAATAATAACCTGAATAGTTCATAAGTATAAACTATCCCATATTTAGTTCATACATGTAAACTATCCCCATATATTGTCTCCCAAATGCCTCATTCCCTCAATTGCTATTATTAAAGTAGATGCTTTGATTTTGTTTTGTTTCTATTTCCCCAAGTTAAAGTAATATAGTGTTTGTGTTTAGAATGTCTGCACAATGTAACTCATTTTAGTATGCTGCATCTATGTTGCTTGGTTTTTGTTCTTTTAATAAAATATGTAAATTTCTTTGTTATGTCTTTTTTTAAATTTTTATGAATCCATACTCACACATTAAGAGTTTAGATGGATTCACATTCTAGCATGGTACCTCTCTTTGGAGATTACAGCATAAAATTTTAACTTGTGATTTGGGTTGAGGTTATATTTCATACAGAAAATAACACTTTTCAAATATACTTTCAGTATTTTGAATTATACAGATAATGTATCTATTTTATGGGATCTATTAGCCCTATAATATTGACGTTACTATCACAAGAAAGACACCTCTATTTTCGTTTTTTCCAAAACTTAAAATTTGGGGATAAAACTTACTGGCTTTTATTATGCCTTAGTAATTGAAGGCATGTTCTAAGATACATTATATAAGTTTGTCTTTTCTAGTCATTCATTTCTCTCCTGAATCTCCACTGGAAGATACAAAAGGAGTGGTGTTCTTCTCAGACTTTTCAAGATGGCTCTTAGTGACTCCACCAAATGAGATGCATACAGTTTCCCAATAAAATGTGTCCTCTCACAATTGGCTAGTTCCCAACAAAGAGCATAGGAGAAAGCATGTCATCGTGTTTGTTCTCTAGGAAAGCAAAATGTAACTTGGTAATACTTAGTACTGTCAGATTTCAAAATACGTAAAAATACTAACCTACAACTTCACATTTGCCACCTTTGGTAGCCAGGCTGATAGAATTGAGGTGAAGAGAGCTTGGATCAGAGGAGGTGAAGCATGACTCTAATAGTGAACTGCCAGGGAAAAGGGTGGGTCTTTGTCTAATATCAGCTGAATCACGTAGAACCACGCGTTCCCGTGGCCCCTTTGCCCTGCTTCACCATTTTAAATGCAGTCCCCACTATCTAACATGTCTTGATAAGCCAGCTTTGAGCCCTTGGATATGTCATGTGGTTTCTGTGAGTCTGTGATGATCCCAGTATTAAAACCAGTTGAGTAGATAGGCGTTTACAAGAGGTCTTTGGCCTCTTAAGAATGTAGCATATGTCTTTCTCTTTGAAGCCGTTGACTGTTGAGAATAAAGGGCAGGCATCCGTGACCATAATCAAATTGGAGACGGGAGTTTCAATTGGCCAGAAGAAAGTTGACCCCTGGGCTCAATTAGATAGAGACCACGTTTGTCCTGGGTGCTTTTTAACCTCTTTTTACAGTGCCCTCCGATGCCCTCCTTAGAAGTTCCACGGCAGTATCTTAGTAGACAGGTTGCACTCAGTAGATCTGGATTTGCCCCTTGAAAGGATTCCTGGTATGCCCTGTAGGCAAAGGAGAGCAGTTTGCGCTAAGATCTTAGGGACAACTCACATTAGGGGGCTGAAGACTTGTATGATAAAAGGCATGACTACAAGCATTGGGTACCAAAAACCCACCACATATTGTTGATTTCTACTCATAGCATTTCCAAGGACAGTAAAACTTCCTCCATTGGGTTTCCTAGACTAATCTTTGGGGGCCAAGATCGCCAGGTCTTTTCTCCCACAAAGCCACTGGTGGGGTTGTCTACCTACCTTTAGTTAGCAGGCAAACCTTTGACCATTATGATCCTAGAATTCAGATAGTAGTTAAATTCCTGTGGATCGGAGTGGCTCACCTGAAGAAGTTAGAGAGGGGTTGGGGGGACCCAACAAAGTTCTGATCTAGGAATGAGCCTAAAATAATGGCTAGATACTGAGCATCCCGAAATGCCACGGTCCAGAATCCACGCAAATGGTCAGCCTTAAGAAAACAGCATGTACATAGATACCTGGTGGCACAGTGCTTAAGAATCTTGCTGCTGAACAAAAGGTTGGCTGTTTGAACACGCTCAGAGGCTCCACAGGGGAAAGACCTGGCAGTAGGGTCCCGTCGATGTTGCAGCCTAGAAAACCCTATGGGTAACTCTGCTCTGTCCTTTGGCATCACTGAGCTAAAAATCGACTCAGCACTTAACAACATAAAGAGCATGACATAGGAAGTATGAATACATGTTCGAAGTAGTCTAATGACTACCTTCTAACACCCAACAACACCTCGGCACACCAGCTTTCCTATCCTAGAAATGCCCACTTTCTAAACCCAGAGTTTCCTTTTAGTGTCTGAACTTAGGCTTCTTTATCAGGCAGCAGGGTAATCTGGGGACTTAAAGCCAAGAATTCCAAGTAGAAAACGGGGTAGAAAAGGCTTCCAGCAGGCTACAGGATGAACTTTATTTGAGGCACAAGAGGCTGGATGCCTGTTACAGGCAGAAGCCCAAAGCCAAAGCACAGCACTCAAGTGAATACAGAAATCAGAATTGGAAGTGAGCCCAGCATTCTAGTGTTGTACATAGACACAGGCAGGCAAAGCACCGCCCCCAATGTACAACAGACATAAGAAAATCCCTCGGTTTTCCTCAGGGGAGAGAAGGAGTTGTCTCCCATAAGTGATGCAATGTGTTGTAAGCACATAAAGAGGCAGAGAGAGGATTCTAGAGTAACAGTAGCAAGAGCACCTATTAAAGCAAAGAACCTGTTCATTTTAAATGATCAGGGAAATGCAGAAGGAATCCAAGGAATCCCTGCCATCAGCAGACTTCTAAAGACCTCATGGCAACAGATGATCAACCCACTGAGGATCACGATAGAGCTCAAAAAAAAAAAAGTGGGGAAGAATGATAACAGGACTGAGACGTTCCCTTGTGCTTTCATCACCTGAAGCATTGAATAATTCTTTGTTGGGAAAAGACACAGTTCAGAGAGAATCCTATCTGTGCTCTCTCTACATAGTGTAAGTGCTTATTGGTATGCCTTTGTTAATTACTTAATAAATGTGTGTATTCATTCAATGTGTTTTCTTCTTTTCAATCTCTGTACAACCACCAGCCCCCCCCCACCACCACCACCATTTGAAAGAAATCCATTAATGGATTGTTACCCATACACGAAAACCCAGGCAATCGATCACCATCTGGGACTCTGGGTAGGGACTTCCCACAAACTTGACATTTGTGCTATCACCCCTTAATTTCTCTGTTGGTATATAGGATCTCACGGATGTTACATAGCCCAAGCAAGCCTTCGTCATTAACCGAGCACCGACAAATGGTGCTAATAAGTAACCCCTGGCTCTTAAATCTGCTTAGGGCTGAGAGAGTCATTGGAATAGAATTGTGGGGCTAGAGGATCACTCAGACCACTCAGGAAAAATGGCCAAGGTGTTGCAGATAGGCCACCATGCTCACTGGCTGTGTCTTCTCTCCACCTCCAGGAAACATGTCCTGGGGTAAAAGACACTCGAAGCTCCAGACACTATTAAGGGGGCCTTGGGAATGTCAGTCCAAGAATAACCTGTGAGTGATATTTTTAAGCCATTATTTTAAAGTTATGTATTATATACACATTCGGTACCATGTCACTCAGTTTCTTCATTCCAATAGATTTTTCTCTGTATATTAATATTATCTTTTCAGCAACTGTGATAGTCCCAGAGGAGGACAAGTGGGAGAGAAAGCCCCCAAATCCTGCCATGATAATGACTTGGTCAGGGCATTCCATAGAGAGGGCCGTCACTGACTAGAGGGCCAAGGAAGCCCCCTTTAGAGAGCTAAGGTGAGGAATCTTCTGGGATAATGAATGGGGGGGAGCGGGTTTCCAGCATGAGTCAATTTTTCTGAAGTTAAAAAAAACATATTCTCAGACTAAACATTTTCCATAACCCCTCTCAAAGACTACTGGTTAACATCTAGATGTGGTCTCACCTGGGCCCTCTGCCTCCAGTAACCAGTATGCTCCAGACCAGGGGTCCTCAAACGTTTTAAACAGGGGGCAAGTTCACTGTCCCTCAGACCGGTTGGAGGGCGGGACTATAGTTTTAAGAAAAACTATGAACAAATTTCTATGTACACTGCACATATCTTATTTTGAAGTAAGCAAACACATGGGGCAAAAACACCCGGTGGGCCAGATACATGTCCTTGGTGGCCCGCGGGCCGTAGTTTGAGGACGCCTGCTCCAGACAAACCAAACCGCTATTTCCCAGAGACTCATAACAGTTGCCCCTATCTCTCTCCCTGTGCATATTTTTACCTCTGCCTGGAATGCCTTCACTTCTCCCTACTATTCCTTGCAAGCATATACATATTACTTCATATATAAATGTATTTCAAAATATATATCAACTACCAACTCTTCCTAGAGGCCTTCTGTGGCTTTGCCATATCCCACTCAGCTGATATTTACATGGTGCTTCCCAGATGTTCTTAAAACTCAGTACCTATCACCCCTATCAAACCAAAAGTCACTGCCATTGGGGCGATGCTGACTCATAGTGACTACAGGACAGGATAGAATTGGCCCTATGAGTTTCCAAGAGTGTAACTCTTTACAGGAGTAGAAAGCCCCATCTTTCTCCCATAGGGTGGCAGGTGGTTTTGAACCGCTCACCTTGAAGTTAGCAGCCCAACGTGTAACCACTATGACACCAGGGCTCTGACCTACCTCCCCTACAGTGCTTATAAAATCTATATGCCACCTCAATTAAACAAGACTTCTTACACACAAAATCCAGGTGTAGTTCATCTTGCTATCCTTCATTGTACCTAAAATAGTAGCCACACAGTGGCTAAATCACAATAGAAGATTGTTAGAAGTCAGGGCACTTTTATTGTTAAAAAAGAATGAAACTATTAGAATAAGAGGGGTTTATATAATGATACAGGGAATTTTTACAGATTCCAGTGGTCAAAACAACTGAACTTAATGGAACTTAAAAGTAGTTTGCTTCTATTTTATTCCATTCCATTCTTCTGTAGGGCAACTTTTTTGACTTACCCTGTTTCCCAGAAAGTAAGACATCCCCTGAAAATAAGACCTACTTACAGTTTTGCCTCTCGCTGAAATATAAGGCATCCCCCTGAAAATAAGACCTCCCCGAAAATATGCCCCCCTGAAGCTACCGTGACTCGACCGTAGCAGTGGGCGGCCACCTCACAGCTCACTGTTGGCCACAGTGCAGCCGGAGCAGACAGGAAGTGCAAGATCTCTTT